CCAGTCCTTTGCCCCAGACCTCAGCAGGTTCAGGGCACATCTGACCTTCTGGTCAGTAGGACATGAACATGTGAAGAAACACCCCTCCACGTCAGAAATCCACCTCATGGTTTTGATGGGGTCCCGAGTCCCATCAAAATTAGGGGGCTTCATGTTATCGAAGTCCCTATACATAAAAGCCCTGCCAGCTCCTCCCCCTGCCGTTGATACAGCTGATGTAGCTGCTGCGGCAGCCGTCTCAGTGGGGGCTGCGTAACGCTCATCGATGTACTCCGTCATGGCGGTCTTGATATACCCAAACATCTCCAGTATCTGAGCCCGAAACACAGCAGCAACCTCATCATGTAGGATCTCCCGGATCCTGGCGTCCATCTCGTCTGGCCCCATATGGCCGATAGTCTCGGGAACTACTGGTGCCTCCTGTCCGCCGCCTCCTGATCCTGACCCGGATCTAGTCACAAATCGTCGAGTAACCACCATGCTGAAAACATACCAAGAAGATATCAGATACTCCATATAATAATCCGGGAACCAACTCCCAACAAAACCCTATGGGTTGTGACTTCCTTGCTACGCGTATGGGTAATGTGATTTCAATAGTACGGGCCCATACTACCTTCCACACCTACCCCTATTTGTCTCAAGTATCATCACAACGCCCTAACACTATACGTAACATGGCATGTACTCACTCCTCACCCCTAGAGGAAGGCTAAGTATCTCATAACTGGCGGACTAATCCCAAACAACCCATCCATGAAACTTCCACCAACCCTGCAGCACTCGTGTAAGCTAGCCATACATAACGTTGGACCCTATAGAATTTCGAATACCTGATCCTACCCTAAGCCCTTCATCAAACAAGAACAGGAAATAACGCCACACCAAACATTCTCAGGCTATAAGATCTTTATTATGTACAACCATGATGCATACACTAAGCAACTATAGTAATGATGTCAATCTCATATAAGGAAAACCCTAGGCTATCATGCATCATATAATATCAGGCAATTCTATCATGCAATTCCTGAAGATCCCTAGCCTAGTACTAGCATGTTGTTATAACATATCACAAAATCAAATAATCCGTAAGGTATTTTGGGGTCTATCCGCGAGCTCCCGCTGATCGTACACTTGCATCCTCCTTTATTATTTTGAAAACCATTTGAAAAATCAATTTAAAATTCTTGTCCTTAGTTTGAGACTGGAGACACACGAGTGTTTCCTCCAATTCACTCAAACCAAGGCTCTGATACCAACTTGTAACATCCATAAAAATCATGCCAAATTTAAACTTTTTAAAACATTTCAAACCAATGATTATCAAAAAACTTGTTTCAAAATGGTACAGTGTCAGAGTATCCCAGAATCAAAACATAAAACATAAGGAGGTGTACGATCACGCCTTCGCCTTCCCGCGATCATCAGAAGTACCTAAAACACAAATCGATAAATGTAAGCTCGAAGGCTTAGTGAGTTACCCCCAAAATACAACGCCATAAATCATATCAATAACATATAAGCAAACAGCATGCATAATGAGCCTTCAGCCTGACTGGACCGCCTCACAGGCCTTCAGCCTATCTGGACCGCTCTCCGAGCCTTCGGCACGTCTGAACTGCCTCGTAGGGCCTACAGCCTATCCGGACCGCTCGTCGGGCCTTCGGCCTGACTGGACCGCCTCGCAGGGCCTTCAGTCTATCCGGACTGCCCTGGGTATGTTGGTCTTTAGCACAAAGCAGGACAGCCTTAACCCAACCCCCAATCAAACAAGCATGTGCACATAAATATCATACGCTAGCATATATAACAGTCAAACCGATCTAACAGATCACTAATCATAGCAACATCCTATAACCAGGATACAGACCTAACCGGTCACTAGCATAACATCATCCTATATACCAAGATACCGACCTAACCAGGTCACTAAGCATATCACCATCCTAACTACCAGGATGTAAATCAATAAACATATCATGCAATAACCCGGATACAAATCCGAAAAGGGCCGGAATTGGTGCCTTCGACCCTGTTAGTATAGTGAGGACAACTCACCTCACAAGTAGTGCAGAACTGGACTGAAAGTCTCCGACTGCTGTCTCACCGAAAATCCTGAACTATCCAAAATAACGGATACCAAGTCAATAATTGGATTCTTAATATTGCCCAAGGGTCCCGCATAGAGTAATTGTCCACTATTGCCTTTTCTCTAATCCGGGCCAAGGCCCAATGCCAAATCCATGATCTTAAAAGTCCATATATCCAAAGCCCACTAAGGGCCCAATTTTCCTAATTGGGCCCAACTCCCTAATTAGGCCTTATTCTAGGATCCATTATCAAAACTGGCCCAAAACCCAATTATTCAGAACGTCCAGCAAGGCCCAAGTCCAACTAGTTCAAAGGCGGCCCAAATCCCGAAACCCAAATCGTCAAAAGCCCAATAGAGGGCGTACGCGGGGTGTACTCCTCTGGTACGCTGGGCAAACTTCCGTTTTGCGTTGACCACCATCGGGGTGGTTGACTCAGTACGCTGGGCGTACAGAAATTACGCGGGGCGTACGCGAGTTTTACCAAAACTCTAATAAGTGCTTAATGGCTTAAGCACCTAAGCCCAAATTCCAGATCCATCGACCAAATGTGTCTTTGAACCATAAAGTCTCGAACTTTAAGACTTTGGACGTCCAGAAAGTTCTTAATACATGGTCTTGACCCATTAAGACCTTCATACTATATGCATGGGACAATTTAAGCCATTAGGACATCATTTTTATCACTTAGGACCCTTTCTAGGGTCTGAATGGACAGCTTAACATGTCCAAAACGCATCATGCACCATATTCGGGTTTTTGGGATAAGAAAAGTGCCAAGAAGCTAAACAAGATAAGATCTACTCAATATAATTGCCAAGGTAGAAGCTTTTTACCTCCTGGAGCTTCTAGAGGACGAGAACTTCAGATCTTCAAGCTTGCCTTCCTTCACCAACTATTTGGTGCGACACCTTCTCCTTCAAGTGCTCAAAACACACACAAACTCACACTCACACACAAGGCTAGGGTTTGTGACGTCTCTAGGGTATGGAGGCTGAAAGTGATGGAAGAAATGAGCCATAAGGACGTTTATATAGCACTCAAACCCTAAATATTAGGGTTTCCACCTAACGTGAGTACGCTCAACGTACACAAGTGTACGCCCAGCATACTAGGGCGCGCCTAGTACGCTCAGCGTACCTTATGTATGCTTAGTGTACTCTCTTGACCCCAAAGTTGTAACTTTAGCCCGCAGTCCTCTAATGGCTTCACTCTTCCAACCCCCAGGGACAACAAATGACAAAATTAATAATAAAAGAGGAAATTCGGAAATACCTGCAAAAATCTCGGGATGTTACAGCCGGTTGCGTCTCTTGTTTTTTAAATTAAGACCACTATTTGGATACTATATGCAAATGATGTGGCAAAGCATTCGCTCCCATATACATATCATTAGACAGTCGTCGACGATCTCCACCAAAAATGGATACTCAAGCTCCCCCGAAGCATCCGCAAACTTCTTGCTAAGCGCAAGAGACACAAAAGATCGGGTAGCCCCCGAATAAAATAGAACTAGGGCAGAAATACCGTTCACACAGTACGATCCTAAAACAGCAACAAAAATAACTACGTATATCATAAGCATAAATAAAAAGTATAAGGAGAAGATACATACATGTGACCACATTGGGCGCTGCACATGCCTCCTCGGCTGAAAGCTGGAATGTCCTGCTCCTCACAACCAGAGCCTCTGCCTTGCCCTGGCGGCCATCAGTAATCCTCAATGTAGACGGAGTCGGTGCTGCAACTAGACCCACCGCTGTCAAGCTCGGACAGTCGGCCTTCTTGTAGCCCTGGTTCTCCTCCTTGGGTGCCTCGTGACTAGGCAACTAATCGAGTATTGCTTAACTTTCCTTCATGAATATTTCTACCTAATCCGCTCAAAATGAGCCTTAGGGCTCTTAATCGAGTTTCGAGTTAATCGAGTATACCTAATCCACTAAAAATAAGACTCCAATTGTTGCCAAATCGAAGATAATCACGAAGAATTTTAATAAAGGTATGTTGTATGATCCAATGTTTAAAAAGGCTTCTATGTTTTTGCTATCAATTGTTTCAATGTTATGTGTATGTTTGTATCTACTTTTATGCTTGAAATCCATAGTGAATGCGTATTGTACACTTTGATCAAGGTTACTAGATTCAAGACCATCCATAAGAACTACAAATTATATGTAATTTCTCAATTACTTTTCGTAATTGTGTAAAGTTGTTAATGTCTTTAATTTCTTTTGAAATGTTAACATGAATTACAGCCAATTTAGCTTTCTATTATTCTTATGACGTTATCGTTTATCATTAATGGTTATAATAGGTCCCAAATGATCATAAAACTTTATCGAAATGTATGAATACTTTTTTTTTAATTTTATTTATTTATAACCAATACCAGATTTTTATTTTGAAGATATCAGAGAATTATACTTTATTTTTTGGACAAATGGTATTTTTAGAGAGATTCAACATAAATCCTCGAAATAAAAAAGATAGAATCTTTGAAGCCCTCTTGGTTAAATGATCATTAAGACAAACTAGAAGTATTAGTGATATCTTTGTTTGTATTTGTACGCTTGTTCATGTAAGTCAATTGTAAATGGAACTTACATGAAACTAAACTCTATTCATTTATTCCTAACAATCAACAACAAAGTTAAAATGAACTTCCTCCTAAGTCAACAACAATGTTTACATTTTACGCATAATTGTTAGCAAGATTTAAATCTAATAACAAATTGCTTTGAAAACGTAAATGCAGATACAAAAATATACAAAAATAATAATTATAAATAATACAAAAAGACTTACATTCATCATTCATCAATACGAAGATACAAAAAACAACCAATGAAGAAGCTATACAAGATATATAAAAATAATAATAATAATACAAAAAGACTTGCATTCAATTCAAATGAACACCAATACTAATGTACAAAATACAACCAATGAGAAAGCTATACGAGAATTACCGGAAAACAACTCCGGTGGTGCACCGGATTTTAACCGTGTACCTTTCTTTTGCAGTTTCTGACCCCTGTCACTAACTTCAAAATCAGCCCCGAGTATGAGTTTATGTCTCTTTGTTTTCCAAAATAATATCTTAAACCTAACCGCCGTCGCCAAATCCACCCTGAATACCGGCGGTCTTCCACCAGTGATGTTCACGGCTGCATCCCACGGCACTCCTTGCGTGTCCGTCCAGTTTTTCCGGCGTGCTTTTTTCTGATGTCCTTGATAAAACCCTTTGAGCACGTAATTCGAAATAGGGATTCCATTTCCATTTGATTGGTTGATGTAATAATGTAAGGTGATGTTGAGTGGGTCGTAGTAAATACCTTTGTCTTTGTTCTCGTTGTCGAGCTTCAGATCGAGGTAGATGGATTGATAGGAGGTTGAATTTCGGGTTTTATTGAGGGCGGGAATGTAAACGTCTTGGATGGAGCAAACTGGATTTGAAGTGCGTAAGCTTAGCCACAGGAAGAGTGAAGTGAGACCTAAGGTTAGTATGAAGCTGAAACAACACCTGCAACAGCCTGTTCCGCTGTCGGGGCGGCTGTAGTCGGACATGGTTCAGTTGGGGTTCCGGCGAAGAGAGAGAGAGAGAGAGAGAGAGAGAGAGAGAGAGAGAGAGGTGGCACTGTTTTGAAGGTAAATTCTCCCCAATGTTGGCGAAACAGCCGAGTAATTTACAAGTGGCTTAAATAATAAATATCTCGTGTGAACGCAGCCATTCATTCTCAACAATGAAAGCATACTAGCTGATGTTGTATGTCTTCATCGTCAACATACCTCAAGGGTACGAATTAGGGTTAAGTGTATGGGGTTGGAAAGCCGACTCCTGAAGACGATTGGCGTGAACGAAGGAACAGAAGTCATCGATTTGGAAATGATCAGCGATTGGAAATGGCGAATCGAGACGATATCGATGAGATGTCGGCTTGGAAGAAAGATATACGGATTTTAGGGTTAGATTTTGGTGTTTGAGTTTTTGAGATATGTGGATCGATTCACAAAAGAAGAAGAAAAGAAAATAGAGGTGTGGGTACTGGCCGCAAGTAAAAACGCAGGGAAGGATGAAATAGGTTGGGCTAAGAATTTTAATTCTTGGGCTCAAATTTAATGGGCTCATTCTGAATTGGCTTGTGAAGCTGGGTTGTCATTCCCGACTGTGGTATACTCGACAACGGACAAACGGGAGTTTTTTTATTTATTTTTAAAATGTGTTTGTGTGATTTTTATTTTGAAAACTCGAATGTCATATGCTAATGTGTGCTTAATTTTAAAAACATTAATTTTCCAAATAAATTGGATTTTTAACTCTCATTTCGAACCGAAACTAATTTATCTAATTTAATGATAAAGAGATTATATTAAATACCATTCAAGTTGTTCACTATTATTTATCATTTTTTAGTTTATTTATTTTATTTGATATTTAACAGATAAATAGACTACGATATTAAATATATCATTCAAGTTGCTCACTATTATTTATCATGTTTTATTTATTTATTTTATTTTATGTAAGTCTTCTTCTTTTGAATTAACAGCTCTTTATTGGTTTTTTCTTATATTCTTCGTGTTTATTTATTGGTAGTATTTTAGTATTTGCATTAGGTTTTGAAAAAGTTGCATAATGCTTAAACAAACCTTTTACCAAAGGTTGCATTAGGTAAAGTTGCATTAGATCTAAAACAATTTTTTTCTTCAAAAATGCAACCATTTTTTAGATAGTTGCAAATCTTTTTTAAATGCAACTTTTTTTATTGCAACATCTGTTATGCAAAAGCAACTTTTTAATGTTCATATGCAACTTTTTTAACTCTTTTAGTTACGAAAATGCAACCTTTTTTTATAATCAACTGCAACCTTTATTATGTTTCTAGTAAAGAATTGCAACATTTCTATACGGCATATGCAACCTTTGTTATGTCTTTAATTGCAAAAAATGCAACATTGTTTACCGTCAAATGCAACTTTTTTTTTGTGATTTTTCTAATTTCAGTGCGACATTTTTTTTTCCTAATCATATATACGTTACATATGTTTACTACATTGCTACAAATATTCATTACTACTAAAATTACACCATAACAATAATAACATAAATATATTATATAATTTTATAGTCTCCTTTGACATGTCTAAATTCAAAATAACAACCATAAATCAAAGTCAACAGAAAGTTGTCAACTAAAATCACAATATATATATATATATATATATATATATATATATATATATATATATATATATATATATATATATATATATATATATTAAAATCATTCTAGACATGTATTAAACATAGAAGATAAATCATATTAGCAACTAACGACCTTCTCGAGGTTGTTGATCTGCCAACTTTCGCATCATGGCTTCAAGGTTTTCTTGTTGGTTTTTAATATCTATTCACATAGCTTCTAATTCAGTATGTTTTTTTTTTCATGGTCCTGTTGAATCTCTTTCCGCATTTCAATAAACTCATTTCTTTCAAGTTCATTTTCTTTGAATGATTCCATAAGTCCCGTCGGGATCATGTATGATGCATCACCACCACCCACTCTTTTTTATCAATCTATTAGTAACACCTCTACCATAAAATCGACGGTATCCATCATTCTCTTTTTTCATCACAATCATATAAGGATCTACGACATCACTTTCATCTTCTAGATGTTCGTACTTCTTCATTTGTTCCTACAAGATTATTAAAAATGAATATGATAATTTTAGTAAAGCATCTACCATTAAAACGTTGTTTATATTTAAAAAAACAGTTTTTTAATTGTGTAAAAGACAGTTATTTTATGTACAAAAATCTGCTATCAAAAGACTGTTTTTTTATGTAAAAAAAACTGCATTTTAACATCTTAAAAAACTGCATTTTAATATATAAAAAATTGCAATTTAACGTCTAAAAATGTAGTTTACTATCAAAAGGAAAAACCTATTGTAAAATTGAAATACAAACTTACAATTTTATTTGTCATGTCGTCATATATATCTAGATATACACGCTCATCTGTCCTTTGACGTGTACATTCAAACATTTGAGTTAGAGTGGAGAATTCCTTGTTTGGATCTTCATTTTTTTTATACTCATGATACATAGATATCAAACAGAAAGCATCAAAGTGTGGGAAAATAAAAACACAAATCACTATAAAAAAGAAGACATTAATTACCATCTCGTCACGAATTCTAGCAAAACTTTTTGGACCAGCCGTGTGCATATTTTTTAGAGACTTGCGTATTTCTTTTGCCCGTGAACAGTGCACACACACACACACACACACACACACACACACATATATATATATATATATATATATATATATATATATATAATTCAACTGAAATACACAAAAAACAACTCAAATTTTATCAAACACTAGTAATAAAGATAATGCTTATGAAATTACCGCCACATCTTTTTTATTTCATAACACTAATAGTTTTGAGAACTCTTCTTGAGGAATACATTCAGATAGATTCTTCCATCTTGTTTTATTGTCCGTAAATTGATAGAAGTGTTTTTTCTTGAACCTACATTTTGTATACCTTATATGAATTTCCAATTGTCCCAAGAACCCAAGTTTTTGCATCATCGGGCACCTCGTATTTTCCCATAAAAAAATTAGTAATTAGTAAAATGAAAGGAAAATAAAAGAAGATGGAAGAATAAAGGTACTTAAAAACTTACCAAGAGATACTCCCATATCTTATCTTTATGAGGAACTTTGTGCCATGAAGTACATGTCAATGGTGCATAACTATGGGTACGAGCTATTGTACCCAAAAACCGAGAGAATTTTCCTACTACGTCCTTCCCCTTTGTTATCGGTCCAACGGGTTGTCCATACCCATTACATATAATGACCTCACGTTGATTAACTTTCCACGTGTGAACAACATGTAACATTGTTGGTCCTCTTTTATTGGGTGTAGAAATTACCACATTCCAACATAGAATATATATATATATATATATATATATATATATATATATATATATATATATATATATATATATATGACAAACCAAAAACATGATCAAGTAGTGAAGTTGAACCTGTTTCCTTTTCTAATTAGGGCTCTTCTAATTTTTCTTCAAAAAGTACATCATCCTCATTTCCCAAATCGGCATCTCTATCATGAACTTCGATCTCATTTTCAATATTTGCATATGTCAAATGGCCCATGTCTTCATAGTCATCATTTTGATCAGCATCATCTTATAATTAATTAGTAAATATAACACCAATAATAAATAGCAATTACAAAAAATATAACAAAAAATGAAATATTCATTAAAATAATCAAAAGTACCTTCACGTTGCACAATCAGCTGCAATAACATGTAGTTTTATGAGGTTACTTTGTTATTTCTCATTAATTAAATAAACATTTAGATTGACAAGATACTACCTTGAGATATCTCATCATCCTCATCCTCATCAACAAGAGCCAATTGTCTTTTTGCTCCGCTTTTGATACAATTATGCTTTTCTGTATTTTGTTTGAATACATCCCTTCTTCTTTGCGGGCCTTTATTCCTCAAGATTAAGTCACCCATACTAGTTTTTGCTCTAGCTTGTTTTTCTTTTGTTACATTCGAAACCAATGGATACTTATTGGAGACATTTAGAGCAATCACCCGACGTTGCCTTGTTAAATTAGCAATTCTGTTCATGGAAATTGGTGCAATATAATGTGGACGATTTTGCTGTAACAAATTTACTTTTCATTATTGAAGATCAACATCAAAATGAAACAATTAAAGATTTGCTAATCTGATTACCTTTTTGGATACTTCAACACTTCTAGCAAGTTTATGGTAATCTCCATCATTAGCATCACCAAAATCAGGAATATAATCTGAATCTCTAGCACCGATATATGTTAGTTTTACTTGTTTTTTCTTTGGTTTTTGACTTTCTACCAAACTTGTCAAAGAATTTGCAATGCTTTTAACTCCCAAATCTTTTAGTCTTGCTTGGTTTTCTTGAATCCTTAAAAGTCTATTCTTCTCACAATTATTCATTTCTTTGTGTGCACTTTGATCTTGCTTGTTTTGTTTTCCCATTACCGGCCTACTTAAAAGTGAAATTATCAATTTAAGTTCAAAATACATAATACTAACATTGTAGTATCACTTACATGCAGTGGCGAATCTAGAACAAAAAATCACATGGTTCCCAAATTAAGTGAAACTAATAAAAAAAATCAACACTTTTGGGGGGTGGGTCGAGTTGGATCGTATACCTTAAAAAACTGAACCAACCGGTTCAATCGATTAAAACCGATCAGGCGCCACCGATAAAAAAATTTAAAAACCGATTGAAATATAACTGAAAAAAACTCGTACAATTTAACGAAAAACTAGTTGATTATTACTCAATTGATAAAGTGGCGAACGGAAAATGAGAGTCTTTGGCATACAACTTCTTTTTTATTAGAGCAATTTACTTATTTATTGATATTTTGAGAATGTTGAATAAGAGTGGTTAACTTTTTGTTATCAATCTCATAATTAAAAATAACAAATTGTCCCTAATAATTTATATTTTTCTCCTTTTAAAATAATTTTTTAAGACATTTAAAAAAAACAAAATCAAGGTAAGTCCTCTATTTTTTCTAAGGTAGTTCCTAATTTTTCTACTATATATATTGGAAATTAAATTAAAGATTTAGGTAGGTCCTAGGACCTACCTAACCCCTTCATAAATACGCCCCTGCTTACATGTAATATTTTCCTACAAACATAAAATTAAATCAAAAAAAGAAATAAGAACCTGACAAATAAGGCACAATGCAACTCTAATACTTATGATTAATTGAATTGAAAGGAACCTGCAAAACAACCACACATTTACCTCTTGTTCAGAATCTAAAAAATAATAAAAAATAAAAACCATGAAAGTTATTCCAACAAGATAAAAATACACCAATGAATGGAAAAAAGATAGATTTTTGAATATAGACTCATAATTCGTTGCAGTTTCAATGTGTGATTGAAGTGTATAAAACATATCAAGTTTTTTAAAGAAATTATCTAATAACAAAAAGTCAAAAAAATCAATGGTTGATGTTTGATCTACATAAAAATAAACAGACAGTGTCTTGAAAGAATCCCTTGCCATAAGGAAACATGGCTCATTGAAAAAATCATTGGTTGATGTCTAATGTTCGCGATTAGGTTATCGAGACGACGTAGCCATGGCTTACGCCATAGCATGCTTGGTGGAGTCATGACATGTCTTTTAGAACCATGATAATCATAGAGTTTAGCAAGAAGCAATTAATGACACAAACCATTAGTTTTTTTAATTCTAGTTAGTTGCAATGGTCTATATTTAACAAAAAATTTATAAGGAAACAGAGTTATTAGTTATGATTTGCCGAAATAAAGTATTCGCCGCCCGTCGCATTGCACGAGTAGACGACTAGTCACCAAAAATGAGGTTTAAAGGCTGATTACACTTATAATTAGATGATACTATAAGCACTGATACTATTATGAACAATAAACTTATCTAGAGGATTGACTGAACTAATACTTTATGTAAAGCAAGAAAATTTGAGCTTATAACAGGTAGCAAAACCATCAATGCATGGGTTGTTTGGTGGTTTTTTAAATGTAGGGGTAGTTTGGTACTTTTTTAAATGCATGGGTTGTTTGGTACTTTTTTAAATGTAGAGGCTGTTTGGTACTTTTTAATTCAAGGGGATGTTTAGTAATTTCTTAGATACAGAGGTTGTTTGGTACTTTTTTAAATGTAGGGGCTGTTTGGTACTTTTTAATTTAGCGGGTTGTTTGGTAATTTTTTAGATACAAAGGTTGTTTGGTAGTTTTTTTAAATGCAGGGGTTGTTTGGTACTTTTTAATTTAGGGGGTCATTTGCTACGTTGTTATTTCTTGCATTTAGACCTTAAATAACTTGTTTTGAGTAACCTACTTTTGTTATCTGATCATTTAAAGGTCAAATATTTAGTTAATTACTAGCTACAACAAAACTAATTATCGAAAGGTACATTGAAATTACTATTATACCTTTGTTTTAATATATTTTCTTCTATTACTTCCTTAGAAAAACAGACATTTCCAAATACTCTGTCACACCCCAAAACCGGAACGGCGGAAACGTTCTGGGGCGGAGGACGTCATGTACAGTATCACAACAATGCATAATGGTAAACAAGCAACAACATCATCCATTGCATTAATAGTATAATTTAATACAAGTGTGTTATGTGTATAGTTTATAAGACACCAAAAATGAATAATCAAAATAAGGACGAGTCTTGAAAGCTCCGTCTTCTCAAAAACCTGGTCATCGGTACCTGTCTACTGGTGACCTGAGAATACAAGTTATTTTGAAAACATAGATCAGCATTAAATCTGGTGAGTTCATAAGTATTTTAGTGTCATTGTTTGTATGAAAGTGTTTGTAAATGTTTGATGTAAATGTTTGTAAGTGTTTGTATCTCCTAGAAAATCCTATATTTCATACTAAAAAGTAGCCTTCTACCAAGGCCCAAATGTTCTGTATGTTGTTTGTTTGTATAAGTGTGTAATTTTCCCAAAGACAAACTATCGTTACCAAAAATATAGTTTACATTACCGTTTATGTGAGAAGATCACAATTTGAATGTAATGGGAAAATAATAAAGATGTATTTGTAGTATTTTGTATATAGCAACTATCGTTGTACTAACTATCTTAAAACACTTGTTTTAATTAAGGTAAAATGTGATATAGTTGTAACCATGCTTGATCGACTAGTTAAAACACGACGCTCTAAGACATCGAAATGGTATGACATTAGTCACCTGTAGACCTGCAGGTCCCACTGTAGCTAGCAGCAAGGTGTAGGATAGTCAATCCCGTATAGATCTATACACCAATTCACGCTCTCCCTCCAGGAGACTCTGGTTACAAAACGTGACACAGAAGTAGATTGTCATGCCATGAAGTAGTGGCTCACATTAAGTTTACAGTGTTCTTGTATGTGTATAGTGTTCTCTCTGTTCTAGTGTATTGTATCTTCTCTTTGTATAGTGTAGTGTATGTTCTCTTTGTTTCTCATCATAATATGTTCTTTCTGTTTCTCATAATAGTAAGTTTGTAGTGACTCATGAATGAACTGACTCTTATATGTTTCATTGTACTAGAAATAGTGAGTAGTGATCCTCTAAACTATACCTATTATAGTTTACTAGTAATGTTGTTTGAGTGACTGAGTATGTTTGTACACCTTTGCTACCCAAAGGTGCTGAACTGATGTAGGAACTTTTATATCTATACACATATACATAATATATAACTAAGATTCAAACGACACTCGGACAAATAACCGGATACCCTACGTCCACAACCAAACAAGGAACAGGAAATAAAGTGAGTTATCAGTCCTTAGTCCTTTCAACCTTACTCATATAACTATATCTATATAGACATGATTTTGACAATATATAAGTTTGAAAGAGTTTAATAAAGAGTTTAGCATATATAAAAGAGTTTTAACCATTTGAATGGTAACAGATGACTTGATGTCAGTTTATAAAATGTTTTGAAGAGCTTGTTTGATAAAACAGTTTGAAGTAAGAAAATTCACTTGTTTGATAGTTATTAATCACATGTGATTGATATAACAACTATAACAACTATATGTATCCCCCCCCCCATAAAAGCATTTAAAATCATTTAAAAGGTAAGTTAAGGGGTATGAACTCACCTGTAGTGAGTGATACGAATGAAAGATCGATTTAGGATGCTAAGTGTCAAGTGAAGCCTCGAGCACAAACGGATCCTAATAAGCATATAATGATACATATATGGATATAATTAGTGTATATACAACTAATCATTCAAGGAAACCACCTTAGGGACTAGGAAACACTTGGATTGAAGTGTTTTAATCACAAAGGATTGCATCTAAGGGGTTTACGGCCACACAATGGAGTTTACGGCCATTGTGTTTACGACCTAAGGGGTTTACGGCCCTAGAGTATACGGTCAAGGAGTTTACGGACGTACACTCATGGGAGGACTTGCAAACGAGGTGTTTTATGGTCCTATCTAGCATTCCACAAGTTCTTTCGATTCTAGGCTCGAATATAAGGGAGTTTAAGGCCAAAACATCCAACAACACAAGAGTTTACGGCCATGCAAGGGTTTGCGGTCGTAAACCCTTGATGGTCATGTATTTTATGATGATCTAAGGCTAGAATCAAGAGTTTAACAAGTCTAACTAGGAGGTAGAAGCAAGACTCACGTTTTTGAAGGCTTTTAATGAGTTCACGGCCCAAGAACAAGTGAGTGTTCTTGGTGAAAGTGTGAATACTTGAAGATCTATCCAAAAAGAATGATTTCATGGATGAATACATGAATCTTCACTAGATATAGAAGAATATCAACTTGAAAATTGAAAGATTACTTACAAGATTGAAGATCAAGAAGGAAGTTCTTGATGATACTTGAGAGAAAATCGAGTTCTTGAGATGGAAGTGTGTGAAAAAGGTGAAAAATGAAGGTATATCACCTAAGAAAGGAAGAGTTCACGGCCAAGGAGGTGTTTACGGCCGTAAACTCTAGTTTACGGCCGTAAAATCCATGTGTTGGAGTTTCCGGCTTGTATCATGCACACCGAGCTCTATACGATACTTCCTAACACTTTATCCTTTAAGGTACTAGGCCTAAAACACCCAAACACCTTTAACAGGGCTAAAAGATAACCAAAAAGAAGTCTGACTTTGATTGAATGGATGTACAGGATAGAAATTTCGGGTTGTCACATACTCTCTTGCAAAGGTACTAATATAACTTCAAACAACCGAAACACACCCACATATTATCTTTTGTATCATGTATTCATTTTTTTTTTCTATTTTTAGTAGATTCCATAATTGGAACATTGCAGCCAAGGAGTCCCAATTCTCCAAAATTATATAGCTTTTTAATGAAATCCTTTTAATTCTATATGCCATGCACATTGATGGTTCATAATTTTATAGTTTGTTGCAGAAAAGGATTACATGTCATAGATTTGCAAGGAAAAAAATATAGACCATAGAGTATTGTTGGTTTGTTACATAAGCTCACTAAAGACTATAATTAATTGTTCTCACATGTAGACAATTTATTCTATTTTTATTTTGTGTGCCTTGTGTTTTTATTCTATATATATGTTTTACTTGATACTTTAATTCTAAATTTGTATGTTCATTTGCAACTTTGAGTATCTATTGAGGGTTACTTTCGGACTTTGCAGAGATTTGTTAACATAGATTCAGAAGTGCAGATGCTGATGGAAAGCCAATTACTTTTACATGTGCATAGGAAAACTCTCTATTTTTTAAATATGAGGTAAGACCTTTCACATAATAGTGTTAATAGTAAAAGATATGGTTTTGAAGTGACCATCTTAATGTTTAACTTCCATTGGACCCACCTACATCTTCTATTAATATATCATTTGTGTACTTAATTTGGTCAAGGATAGACAGGTCCCTGTATTTTCAAATCTGGAAATTCCAGATTCAGCCCCTTTAGTTTAATTTTAATTTTTTAGTCTATAATAAAAGTAAACAGAATATCATTATATATAAGTTTGTTAATTTAACTTTCTGTAAATGGTTGGTTTAGTTGGTATAGTTTATGAAAGTGTTAAATTGACAAATAATGTTATAGTTAGACTGAATAAATTTTGTCTATGGTAGCCATGTTGATTTTTGCTGCCAAGTTGATTACCATAGCCAAGTTGATCGTATTGATTTCATACCTTATAGTAATTATACACATGTTTCTCTTGAAGTTAATAAACTATTGAATTATCATCAACCAAATCGCAAATTCTACAAATACGTGTCTAATGAGTCGTAAACTAATTTGGGTCATTCAATAAATACTTCAAAATTTCAACAAGATATCTCTCATATATCATCAGGACGTTAATGAAAAAAAACTCCTTTAAGTTAATCGGCCTAGTATCAAAACCTCAACCCCTAAATAAATTCAATTAGCTATGCTCTGAATCGAAAATCTACTGAATTATATTGAGTAGAAGAGTAATTTGAGAAGAAAAGGTATAAGGTCATACTTGGTTTGGGTAGACAGACTTAAGCAAGAAGCTTTGATGAAATTGGCTATTAGATGAGGGTATTCTGCCTCTCGGCACTTGTGGAAGATTAACCGAGAGTAGAGAAAAGATTTAGCAAGTCAAATCGTAGAGACATAATTGCTTGGAATCGATTAGGTGAAATGAAGTTCCAGTTAGCTTTTGTCGCTTGCCTTGAATTTAGAACAGGTACGAAGATAACTAAGTCTTGGAGCCTTCAATCGTGTCAACCGAAACTGTGGAAACGAGATGAACGGTGCCAATGAATGGCACTGTGAGCATGCTACCTTCAATGTCATTGATTGCCTGATTCACAAGTTAGGGTTGAGAGGAGTATGACGTCGGTTGAAAGATAAGATGTAATTGTGTATACAGTGTTTTTGGTTGAAAAGTCAAATATTGGAAACTATCTAATTTAGTTAGAGGGAAATAGAAAAAATAGCGGGAATTGAAATAAAATGTTATTTATTGAGAGGGAAAATGAAATTAGGTAAGATATATAAATCAAATTTTATGAAAAAAAAATTGTACGAAAAATATATTTAAAGAAAATTTGACGTTTATTTAATAATAATAATTAATATTTTGGATATATTATATTTAAATTATATATGGCAATGTTTTAATTAAATTTTGTTTATTTTATTTTATAATTTATATTGCAAAATTATAAAACATGGACTTTTACACTAAAAGTTGCATTCATGTTTTAACAATGCAACATTTGTAATAAAAGTTGCAATTTTTAATAAAATTTGCAACCTTCTGACTAGAGGTTTACCCCTGCTTTGCGCGTGCACGCGCGCGCGCGGTGGGGGGAGAATTGTCAAAATATTATTTCCTTTATTTCCTTTTGAGTTTAAGCTGCTTAAAAAGTTACCTTTTATTTTTCTTTTTACCTTCTAATCATCTAATATGGATGAGTAGTTAGTTGCTATAAATTTTTCAGGAACTGCTGTTGCTGCAAGTTCAAAAGCCCCAACAAATAGATAGTTTTTGATGATATTTCGTCAAATGGGCTTATTTGAAAAATAAAAGTTACTTACTTAGAATGGCAAGAAACTATGTGACATGTTCAAATTCACGAAAGTCACAAAAGTTGAAGGTGTAAAATTAGATTTTCCACTTCAAACGAAATACAAACAGGGTGTGAGAGTCGACTTTTACAACAGAAGTAGGGTAGATGCTTTCAAATTCCCAGATACTTACATAAACATCAAAAAATCTATAATGAATATATCAAATTATGAGTAAATGTTGTATTTCAATTATTTATATATAAAAGGCATGCTTGGTTAGTAGACTTTGGAAATGGAATTTGATTTCCATTCCATGGGGTGTTTGGTTGTCAAAATAGATGGAATTCAATTTTGTCAGAATGTCAGGACTCCCTCATTTTAAGATTTTACAATTCCTTTAATGGTTGGATACTTGGAGCTAATTCAATTCAAATCTTTTCCTTTGTTTTTTAAAAGACGAAAACACCCACAACATATACCTTAGTCATCATTTACCTTAGTCAAACGAATCATATCTTGCATACCAGATCTGGATCATGTTCCCAGAAAAACGATTCTTTTGGTACGTGAGGGTAGCTGAAATTGCAATTTTGGTCCCTGTTGTATAATCATTTCACTATCAACTGGGGAAAAAATGTTGCAAAAACCTCAAATAATGAAGTATTAATGCCACATGATTGAAGACAATAATAAGAATGAAATAACACACCTATCAAACTCAGTAACAGACGTATGTGATTGTTTCCCGGTTTTTGTTCAACCCTTTAATAAAAACATAATCTGTAAAAAAGACAACTCTTCAAAAAAAAACGAACATAAAAAGGGACAGTTTTTTTGGACCTTTTTACACCTATCTAGTTTCTTCTGATGTGGATTTCAATTTCCATATTGATCTTGTGATAGCATGCTTACACAGTTAAGTATTTCATCCATCACCTTGCTCTGTGTTTTTGGATCCTCAGAAAGCTCAAGCACCCTCTGGAAATCACCAAAGATAATTGATTTCAAAGTTTACATTTCTTGAAAATAATTATTACTATTCGTGTATTACTAACCTGTATGATCCACACTAATAAAATTGGTTCCAATTAGGTCAGCATCACAAAAGCTTGTGATCATCTTCTAAGCAATTAAAAATCAATCTCACAAGATTAGGATGGCATAATTGTCCAAGATAATTGATTTTTGCATGCAAAAGTAGCCATATAAAATTGTTTTTTTTCAAATGTAAGGGTAAAACCGTCAATCATTCTTTTTTTTTTGACATACTAATAGTCATTTAATCTTTAATAAAGATAATTAGATAAGCAAGTTAGGAAAATGAGTTTTTCCCCATTAAGTCCCAACTTTTTATAAAACTCTTACTTCATTTTCTCAAATCATTTTATAAACATAAATTCTTGAGGAATAAAAGAAATTACCATTTGTTTTTCAAAAAGAGAACTGAGATTGAGGCCTTGAGATTTATAAATAAGCTCAAAAGCCCTGATGGTGATAAGTTGAGCAGGGCCTTCATCCCGCCTTTCAACTACAAGGGTAGGAGAATCCTACATTTCAAATAAATTATTTCACATCTACTTCTTAAACTCAGTTCAATCAATTTTTTATTAAAAATATATTAATTTTGTACTTTGATTAAAAAAAGTTGCAATTTTTGTATTAATACAAGAATACCAACCTATTGGGCACTACCACCCAAATGAATTTGTTTATGTTTGTTTTCACTTTTCCCAACATGAACCTACATGAGACATCACATAAATCAAAATCAAAACAATTTTTTTTTTCTTTTCAGTAACGATTAACATTTAACAAAAACAACGAGTTTTTTTTCCTAAAATCTCTAGTCATTTTGCTAAATAATTTGCATAAGAAATATATAAAATACCTTAATAGTTGCTCCTGACTCTGTTCTGATCTGATCTGAGAAATGTTTAGTCACAAACATATGTTGAGAAAACCATTTAATATATATATATATATATATATATATATATATATATATATATATATATATATATATATATATATATATATATTAAATTCTGAGACAAAAGTACTACCTTCTAGTATTGCGAAGGTTCATGAATGAATGAAGAAACATAAAGATAAGTATCAGTCTTTACATTGTCTATGACTTGCATAGTGTCCAACAGCCTGAAATATTACAAACCATGATTTTTTAATAATTATGATGGAATTGTCGATAATTTTTAAACTTTTACTTATTATTTTAAGTTTTGTTTTTATCTATTCCAACTTAAATATAAATGGGGGTATTTTAGTTTTTCATAGAAAAAGGAAGAATGGACTCAAATTTTCATCTGTTAAGATTTATGGAGTCATGAATAAATTGACAAGTTCCTAAGAGTTCAAGGGCCATAAATGTAACTTGACAAATTAAACAATTGAATTGTTTAATATTATTGGACGGTGGAATTGTTTATTCAAAGAAACTTTCGGTGGAATTTTTTGAATGGACGGTGGAAAATGTGCAAAAGAAAAACGGCCGCAATATTAAACACATTGAAAATTGGTATGTGGCTTTTCAAAGTCAAAATTTGCAGCCCTCGTGTGAATTGAAGAAAAGTTTACGGCTTAAAAGGCTATAAATATTCTTCTTCTTTCAATTGAAAATGCAGAGCAAGCAACACAACACAAAGATTTTTTTGTATATACACAGAAAGAAATTAGTGAGGTATTATTTTTGTGCAGAACCTTAATTTTTGGCAGCCAAAAATTACGAGTGATATCCTACAGTGAGTGATCAGATTACAAGGGCAGATTTTAGCCTTGTATGATTGTAATTTTCTTTGGTGTTAATAAAATCCCCTCTCTCTCGTTCGCCCGTGGATGTAGGTCAGATTAGACCGAACCACGTTAAATATCGTGTTCAATTTCGTTTGCAATTTTTTCAGTAATTTCCGCGAGTTTTGCCGAAATCGTTATATCAATTTTTTCGGAAGTGCTTAACTTGTTTTGTTGCATACCCAACAAACTGGTATCAGAGCAAAGGCATGGCAGAGAACGAGAGAGAGAGAGTATGTGATTAAGAAACGTCACAAGTTTTGGATGGCAGAGAAAAGCCAAGTTGTTCAAGCCTCCAAGTGGGAGATTGTTAAGATTTATGAAGTCATGAACAAATTGACAAGTTCCTAAGAGTTCAAGGGCCATAATTGTAACTTGACAAATTAAACAATTGAATTGTTTAATATTATTGGACGGTGGAATTGTTTATTCAAAGAAACTTTCGGTGGAATTTTTTGAATGGACCGTGGAAAAGGTGCAAAAGAAAAACGGCCGCAATATTAAACACATTGAAAATTGGTATGTGGCTTTTCAAAGTCAAAATTTGCAGCCGTTTTTCTTTTGCACCTTTTCCACCGTCCATTCAAAAAATTCCACCGAAAGTTTCTTTGAATAAACAATTCCACCGTCCAATAATATTAAACAATTCAATTGTTTAATTTGTCAAGTTACATTTATGACCCTTGAACTCTTAGGAACTTGTCAATTTGTTCATGACTCCATAAATCTTAACAATTTCCCACTTGGAGGCTTGAACAACTTGGCTTTTCTCTGCCATCCAAAACTTGTGACGTTTCTTAATCACATACTCTCTCTCTCCTCTCTCTCTCTCTCTCTCTCTCTCATTCTCTGCCATGCCTTTGCTCTGATACCAGTTTGTTGGGTATGCAACAAAACAAGTTAAGCACTTCCGAAAAAATTGATATAACGATTTCGGCAAAACTCGCGGAAATTACTGAAAAAATTGCAAACGAAATTGAACACGATATTTAACGTGGTTCGGTCTAATCTGACCTACATCCACGGGCGAACGAGAGAGAGGGGATTTTATTAACACCAAAGAAAATTACAATCATACAAGGCTAAAATCTGCCCTTGTAATCTGATCACTCACTGTAAGATATCACTCGTAATTTTTGGCTGCCAAAAATTAAGGCTCTGCACAAAAATAATACCTCACTAATTTCTTTCTGTGTATATACAAAAAAATCTTTGTGTTGTGTTGCTTGCTCTGCATTTTCAATTGAAAGAAGAAGAATATTTATAGCCTTTTAAGCCGTAAACTTTTCTTCAATTCACACGAGGGCTGCAAATTTTGACTTTGAAAAGCCACATACCAATTTTCAATGTGTTTAATATTGCGGCCTTCGTGTGAATTGAAGAAAAGTTTACGGCTTAAAAGGCTATAAATATTCTTCTTCTTTCAATTGAAAATGCAGAGCAAGCAACACAACACAAAGATTTTTTTGTATATACACATAAAGAAATTAGTGAGGTATTATTTTTGTGCAGAGCCTTAATTTTTGGCAGCCAAAAATTACGAGTGAT